CAAACACTAACCAGAGAAGAAAAGCTGGAGTGGGGCTGAGGGTCACACCAGTGGCAAGCATTTTGCTCTTGGGTCCACCATGAGTAACAGCACATTTTACTTAAATTGGCTCATTTTTCATGAGGAATTATAATCCCTACATTGGAGAGATAAACTAGGATGCAAAGAATTTACAAACAACTATTGAGAAGAACTCTAATGAACTCATTGCTTCTGCGGGTTGGCCCTTGCCCTTGTAGTAAAATAAGAGTACTTCTATTTCCTTCTCACTGTACCCTTTAAGGAGTGTGGGAAAGAGAGGAAAAGGGGAGGGGAGGACTAGATGAGAATAAGGAAACAAAAAGCAAATACTATGGATTAAATTTGAGGATATTATGCTAAGTGAAATAAGCCAGTCACAAAAGGACAAACACTGTAGGATTCCACCTCTGTGAGGTACACAGAGTAGTCAGATTCACAGACACAGAAAGTAGGACATTGCTAAGAGCTGTGGGGAGAGGGAAATGGAGCATTAGTGTTTAATGAGGACAGAGTTCCAGTGTGGGAAGATGTAAAGTTCTGGACACGAATGGTGCTGATTTTTGTATAATGTGAATATGCTGATGCCACTGAACTGTACCCTTAGAAACAGTTAGGATGATAAATTTTGTTACATGGACTTCCGCCAAGATGGAGGATTAAGGTGGATGTGCCTGCCTCCTCTCACAACCAAGTTTAAGGACAACTAAATATTAGCATCAGAAGACACAACCAGAACACGGAAAACTGAACTTTTCGGAAGTCCGCAAACAGCAAATTCTCCGGCCCCGGCCGGTAAGAGGCAAAACCAGCGGCGGCGGGTTGAGGAGTTACAAAAGGAGAACTCGTGCGACCCGGGCGCGGGCGCGGAACCCAGAACCCAGACGCGCGACTTTTCGGAAGTCCGCAAACAGCGAATTCTCCGGCCCCGACCGGTAAGAGGCAAAACCGGCGGCGGCGGGTTGAGGAGTTACAAAGGAGAACTCGTTCGACCCGGGCGCGGGCGCGGAACCCAGACGAGCGACTTTTCGGAAGTCCGCAAACAGCGAATTCTCCGGCCCCGGCCGGTAAGAGGCAAAACCGGCGGCGGCGGGTTGAGGAGTTACAAAGGAGAACTCGTTCGACCCGGGCGCGGGCGCGGAACCCAGACGAGCGACTTTTCGGAAGTCCGCAAACAGCGAACTCTCCGGCCCCGGCCGGTAAGAGGCAAAACCGGCGGCGGCGGGTTGAGGAGTTACAAAGGAGAACTTGAACGACCCGGGCGCGGGCGCGGAATCCAGTCGCACGGGTTCCAAACCCAGGATTGGACCTAGTGAGCAGCCCACCGGGTGAGTGACTACGAGTTGACTGTGGGTGCCCGGTTACGCGCGGGGGAGGGAGTGAGCGGGGGACCGGCGGCGGCGCCATTTTCCCCCGCTCTGACCACGCCCCCACATACAGCGTCACAACCCAGCGACCTGGGACTCCAAGGCGCCGCTTCTCTCACTTAAAGGGCCAGAACAGACCAAAAATGTCGCAGGGGGACCTCAAAGTCCCGGAGATAAACCTAAGTGACGAAGAAATAGCAAATCTCTCAGACGCACAGTTTAAGACACTTGTCGTCAGCTTCCTCACAGATCTGGTGGACTATAGCCATAAATTAGAGAAACATATGAAGGCTAAATTAAGGGAAATGAATGGAATTCCACAGGAAACCCATAGAGATGAAAAAAAAACTGGGACTCAACTCAATGGAGTAAACCAGAAGGAAGAAAAAAATGATCAATCAGAAAGGAATGAAGAAATAAGAATTCAGAAAAATGAGGAGAAGCTTAGGAACTTCCAGGACATCTATAAACGCTCCAATATCCGAATTATAGGGGTACCAGAGGGGGAAAGACACAACCACCAGTGGAAAAACTATTTGAACAAATAATAAAAGAAAATTTCCCCAATCTGGCAAAGGAAACAGACTTCCAAGAAATCCAAGAAGCCCAGAGAGTACCAAAAAAGTTGGACTCAAGAAGGAACACACCAAGGCATATCATAATTACATTAGCCAAAATTAAAACGAAGGAGAGAATCCTGGAAGCAGCAAGAGCTAAGGGGACAATCACCTACAAAGGAGTCCCCATCAGGCTGTCAGCAGACTTCTCAAAAGAGACCTTACAGGCAAGAAGGGGCTGGAAAGAAATATTCCAAGTCATGAATTCTAAGGACCTACAACCAAGATTGCTTTACCCAGCAAAACTTTCATTTAGAATGGAAGGACAGATAAGGTGCTTCTCAGATAAGACCAAACTCAAGGAGTTCATCATCACCAAGCCCTTATTATATGAAATGTTAAAGGGACTTATCTAAGAAAAAGAAGATAAAGAAACATGAACAGTGAAAGGACAACAAATCCACAGTTATTAACAACCACACCTAAAACGAAAGCAAACCAAAGGACAGCTAGAGCAGGAGTGGAAACATAGAAATGAAGATCTCAAGGAGGGTTAGCAACAGGGGAATGGGAGGAGGAGATGGGGGGAGAAGGTACAGAAAACAGGTAGCATAGACAGTAGATAGAAAATAGATGGGGGGGGCGAGAATAGTTTGGGAAATTTAGAACCTAAAGGACTTGAGACACATGGACATAAACTAAAGGGGGGGAATGGTGGGGTTGGGGGGGCAGGGTGGAGGGGAATGGAGGGGGGAATAGAACAACTGTAACAGCATAATCAATTTAAAAAATAAATAAATTTAATTTAAAAAAAAAAAAAAAAAAAAAAAAAATTTTGTTACATGCATTTTACCACTATTTAAAAAAATTAAAGAGCAAATATTAAGTAAAATAAAAAGTGGCTAGATGTCAAGTTAGGAGCTGCAAAGAATGGAAAATAAATATCCAACACTAGGCCACCTGGCAACATAAATTCTTTTTTTAAAATAATGAAATTTTTTTATTGTCATTTCTACTTAGACCACTGAGCAATGTGAAAGGCTCATTCCTAAAATTAATAGAATCAGTGACAAGTGTTACAGAATGTTCAGCTCTGCTTTGTATAACATAAATTCTTAAAGTCCAAAATGTGCTTCTTATCATTTAACATCCCACCAGACACTCCACACATCCATAGCCTGTGAAGAAGGGTCCACCACACCTACCTGAACCTGTTCCCCATAATACCTCCAGCTTTTCTCTCCATACTGGGACTACTGTTCTCCCATATCACCCTTCCCACTCCCCTAGACCCTGCCTTCATCTCCTGTCCCACCCACAAGCAGATGCTTTTCCAGGCCCCACTATTAGGGCCATGCTTTACTCTGTTTAGACTGCTAAAACAAGATACTATAGACTGGGTGGCCTACAAGAAACTGAAATGTATTTCTTACATTTCTGAAGGCTGGAGGTCTACGATTAGGGTGTCAGTATGACCAAGTGACACCCTCTTCTTGGTAGCAGACTTCTCACTGTGTCCTCACCTGGCAGAAGGGACAAGGAAGCTCTCTGGGGCTCTTTTATAAAAGCACTAACTTTATTCATGAGGGGTCCTCACTTATGACCTCATCACCTCCCAAAGAGCCCAACAAATAATACTGTGATATTGGGTGTTAGGATTCCAACATGTGAATTTGGTGAAACATGAACATTCTGACTACAGCAGGCCAATTTTGCTTTTGCTTAATCCCTTCACTTTTTTCACTCATCCCCCCAACCCCCCTTCAGCAGTCAGTGTGTTCTATCTATGTATGAGTCTGTTGCTTTTTTGTTTGTTTATTTTGTTCATTACATTCCACATATAAATTAGATCATATGGTATTTGTCTTTTTCAGACTGACTTATTTCACTTAGCATAATACTCACTAGGTCCATCTGTGCTGTCCCAAAAGGTAACATTACCTTCTTTTTTATGGTTGAGTAGTATTCCATTGTGTAAGGGTACTACAGCTTTTTTATCCACTCATCTACATACAGATGGGCACTTGGGCCACAGCCATATCTTGGATGTTGTAAATAATGCTCAAATGAACATAGGAGTGCATGTATTCTTCAGATTTATTTCCAGAAGTAGACTAGTTGAGCTATAAGGTTGTTTCATTTTCAACTTTTTGAGGGATATCCATTCTGTTTTCACAGTGGCTGCACCTATCTGCATTCCCACCAACAGTGCATGAGGGCTCTTTTTTGTCCACAGCCTCATTAAGACTTATTGTTTGTTGCTTTATTGATGATAGCCATTCTGACAAATATGAGGTGATATGCCCTTGCGGTTTTCATTTGCATTTTTCTGATGATTAGTGATGCTGAGCGTCTTTTAATATGTCTGTTGGCCATCTGTAGGTATTTTTTGGAAAAGTGTCTATTTGAGTTCTTTGTTCATCTTTAAATTGGATTGTTTGGGGGTGAGAGAAGGTTGGTATTAATTATAAAATTTCTTTATAAATTTTGAATGTATCAGATGTATCATTGGCAAATATGTTCTCCCATTTAGTGGGTTGTCTTTTCATTTTGTTGATGGTTTTCTTTGCTGTGCAATAACAGTTTAGTTTGATATAGTCCCATTTATTTGTTTGTTGTTATTATTGCTTCCCTTGCTCAAGGAGATATATCAGAAAAATAACACTACCAGAAATGTCTGAGATTTTACTGCCTATGTATTCTTCTAGGATTTTTATGGTTTCAAGTCTTACATTTAATTCTTTAATCTATTTTTATTTTATTCTTGCATATGATATAAGGAGGTGGTCTAGTTTCTTTTTTTTTCTTTCTTTTTTTTTGCATGTAGCTGTCCAATTTTCTCAACACCATTTATTTTTTATTTATTTATTTTATTTATTTTTTTAATATTAAATTTTATTTAGTTACTTTTCAAGTACATTTTTTTTAATCTATTTCTCCCATCCCACCCCACCCCCCCGCCCGGTCTCCCCCCTCCCTCCCATTCTCCCCCCTCAGTCCTCATCTCTGTGTCTTTCATACTTGTTCCTCAAAATCCCTCCCCCTTTTTCCCCTTAAGTTCCCTTCCCTCTCCCCTCTGGTTGCTGCCCACTTGTTCTCTATTTCAGCGTCTTTGTTTTTATTCTGTTTGCTTGTTTGTTTTATTCTTTAGCTTCCTGTCAAAGGTGAGATCATATGGTATTTGTCCTTCAATGCCTGGCCTATTTCACTCAGCATAATGCTTTCCAGTTCCATCCATGTTGTTGCAAAAGGTAGTAGCTCCTTCTTTCTCTCTGCTGCATAGAATTCCATGTTGTATATGTACCACAATTTTTTGATCCATTCATTTACTGATGGGCACCTAGGTTGCTTCCAACTCTTAGCTATTGTAAATTGTGCTGCTATGAACATTGTGGTGCATAGGTTCTTTGAAATTGATGTCAACACCATTTATTGAATGAACTGTCTACCCCAACTATATGTTCTTGCCTCTTTTGTCAACTAGTAATTGACCATAAAGTTTTGGGTTGATTTCTAGGCTCTCTATTCTATTTTATTGATCTAATGCTTGTTCTTATGCCAGCACCATGCTGTTTTGATCACTAAGACCTTCTAGTATAGTTTGGTATCAGGTAACATGATACCTACAAACCTCTGTTCTTCTTTCTCAAGGTTGCTGAGGCTATTCAGGAACATTTAAATTTTTTTCAAACACAAAAGAAGATTGAATATAAACTGTAATTGAAAAATAAAATTTTTAAATAATTTCTCTTTTATTTATTTTTTAACTTTATTTTTATTGTTTACACGATTACGGGTGGCTCCATTTTCCCTCCCTTTGCTGACCTTCCCCTGGCCCTAATTCCCTATCCTCTTCCCTCTGGCCATCACCACACTGTTGCCTGTGTCAATGGGTTATGCATAAACATTCTTTGTCTAATCTTTTTACCTTCTTTCATCCAGCCCTGCTCTGCCCCCTCCCCTCTAACAGCCATCAGTCTGTTCTATGTACCCATGCCTCTGTTTCTGTTTTGTTTGTCAGTTTATTTTATTTATTACACTCTACAAATAAGTAAGATTATATGGTATCTGTCTTTTTCAGACCGACTTATATCACCTAATAATAATGATCCCCAGGTCCATCCATGCTGTCACAAAAGGTAAAAGTTTCTTCTTGTTCTGTAGTATTCTATTGCATAATACCCCAGCTTTTTTATCCATTTATCTACTAATGGGCACTTGGGCTGCTTCCAAATCTTGGCTATTGGAATGAACATGGGGGTGCATATATTCTTTCAAATTAGTGTTTTGGCATTCTTAGGATATGTTCCCATAAGTGGAACTGCTAGGTCAAAAGGCAGTTTCATTTTTAATTTTTTGAGGAAACTTCATGCTGTTTTCCACAGTGGCTGTACCAGCCTGCATTCTCACCAATAGTGCACTAGAGATCCCTTTTCTCCACATCCTTGTCAGCACTTATTGTTTGTTGATTTACTGATGCTAGCCATTTTGGCAGTTGTGAGGTGATATCTCATTGTGGTTTTAATTTACATCTCTCTGATGGCTAGTGGTGTTAAGCATCTTTTAATGTCTATTAGGCACTGTATATCCTCTTTGGAGAAGTGTCTACTCAGGTCCTTTGCTCATTTTTTATTAGGTTGTTTGTCTTCCTGCTATTAAGTTGTATAAGTTCTCTATACATTTTTTAAATTAACACCTTATCAGATGTGTCATTGGCAAATTTGTTCTCTCATCTAGTAGGCTCCCTTTTCATTTTGTTGATGGTTTCTTTAAGCTGTGCAGAAACTTTTCAATTTGATGTAGTCCCATTTATTTATTTTTTCTTTCTTTCCCTTGCCCTAGGAGACATAGGCAAAAATATTACTACAAGAGATGTCTGAAATTTTACTGCCTATTTTTTCTTCTAGGATTTTTGTGGTTTTGTGACTTACATTTAACTCTTTTACCCATTTTGAGTTTATTCTTTTGTATGGTGTATGTTGGTAGTCTACTTACATTTTTTTGCATGTCCCTGTCCACTTTTCTCAATGCCACTTATTAAAGAGACCATCTTTACTCCATTGTATGCTCATGCCTCCTTTGTCAAATATTAACTGACCATAAAGTCATGAATTTATTTCTGAGCTCTCCATTCTGTTCTATTGATCTATATGCCTTGTGCTCATGCCATTTCCAGTCTGTTTTGATTATAATGGCCTCGTAGCATAGCTTGATATCATGTATTCTGACACCTCCAACTTTGTTCTTCTTTTTCAAGATTGCTGAGGCTATTTGAGCCTTTTAATATAAAAGGCCATATAAATTTTTGGAATACTTGTTCTATATCTTGAAATATGCCATTGGTATTATAATAGGAAGTTCATTGAATCTGTTTATTGCTTTGGGTAGTATTTGGGGTCTTTTGTGGTTCTATATAAATTTTTGGAATATTTGTTCTACATTTATGAAACACATCATTAGTATTTTGATAAAAATATGTTGAATGTGTAGATTGCTTTGGGTAGTATGGATATTTTAATAATGTTAATTCTTCTGACATGAACATGGTATATGCTTCCACTTATTTATATCTTTTTCCCTTTTTTTCTTTCTTTATAAGAAAATTATATCTTGTAATTTTCTAAGTATAGATCTTTTCCTTCCTTGGTTAAGTTTATTTCTGTGTATCTTATGTTTTTTATTGCAATTGTAAATGGGATTGTTTTGCTTCTCTTTCTGATAGTTCACTATAGGTATGTAAAAATGCCACCAATTCCAGAATATTTAGCAGGCCACTTTTTGAGGCTTAGTGCTGTCAAGCACAGAAGAAGCAGTAGACTATATCTACTCTTCAGATTAGGGGCTTTGGAAGTTGTGCCAAGATTTTACAGCAAATTTTTAGTATCAAAAGTCTTTGAGACTTGTTAAATCATGAATTAACCTGTGATGAAGGTATACTGACTAGCTGAAAGATTACTTTGACTATAATGACATCATCTCAGGTTGATAACCACGTTTGTCACATGTTTCTCAGAATTGTGGCTGACATAGGCCAGCTGGAAAAATAAGTGAATTGTAAGTTATTTTGGTTTGAAAGATAAAGTTTTTCAAAGCATGGGACCCACCAGAAGTGAGATGAATGGGCAATTCCAGTGTCATCACTGTTGGTTCTACTGGTCTAGATGATCTCTGACTCATTTCCAGTCTCAACCTGCTAAGACTGTGGTCATGGTTATTTATTTGCATTAGAGGAGTGAAAAAGGCTCATAGACACAGTAAGTTTCCACTGAGTGCCAGGGTCCTATGGACACTGGCCAGGTACAAAAACTGCCATTATCTTTCCCAGCCCTCTCCAAGCCCACAGACTCCCTTCCTGCCATTCTCTGACTATTCAGGCTCCCATCTCTGGCCCTACAGGTACCACACCACGTGCCAATTCCCTGACATCTGAACTAAACTCTGAAATTCCTTGTGTCCTATTCCTCAGGGGTTCAAATGCTAATGCTAGTCTATGTTCAGCAAATATTCATAAGTGTTCAGAGCCAATAAGCTAATGAGGGTCTTCTTTAGAGCTGATATCTTTTTCCAAAGAAGTACGTCTGATCAAAATAAGCAAACAAGCACAGTTATTCACACAATATTTGTGCTCAAGTACACAATGACAAGCTTCAAGCAGATGGCCTGAATGCAGTGTCTCTTGTCCAAATGTGAGCCACTTCCAGCAGACAACCTGCATCACAGGGTAAATAACCCTGTGCTGGAACATCGGTTGTCAGCTGTGAAGTCACAGGAAATGTACTTCAGCTGCTAGGAATGAGAAGATGGTGGGAACCTTTTAGGTGGCAGGAAATATCTCACTTTTTTCCAGAACTTAGTCTTTGCACACAGTGACTCTTCTGTGAAGTCTCCACTCCAATGGACAGACCCATGCTTCTGTTTGATGTACTGGATTGACTCTGGCATAACTGTATAGTTTTTTACTTTCTCCACTTCAATTAGAATGACCTTCATCCCATCCTGGATGAGAGCATTGTAGATAGCAATTTGTTCTTCTGACATGTTCTTTAATAGGTCAAAGCCGAGTGATTCAGGAACTATGATGATAATCAGTCTCCTGCACAGCTTAATGTTTTCATCAATGACACTGGCCACATCTGTAAATAGAGAAAGAAGGAACAGAAGATCTTATGATTGAAAGAGCACAGATCTTAATGCTCTTGAGAACATTATAAATGGAGGTTAAAAAGGGACTTTAAAATAAACATGAATTAGGAATGGATTCACAAGAGGTTTTTATTTTTTCCCTTACCTGAGGACATTTTTTCTGTTGCTTTTAGAGAGAGAGGAACAGAGAGAGAGAAACATCAATTGATTGCCTTCTCATATGTACCCTTATCAGGGATCAAACCTGCAACCTGGGTATGTGTCCTGATTGGGAATCAAACCCACAACATTTCAGTACGAGATGACACTTGAACCAACTGAACCACACCAGCCAAGGCAACATGAGAGGTTTTTAAAAAATATTTATCATCTCCTCTGTGAAAACTCCCTTACTTTCCCCCCAAAAATGGTCCTTTATGTTCATGAATCACATATTTTGATAGTTAGTTGTTGGTATGTCACTTTTCTCAGTCCACTGGCTCTACCCACATACCATGAACTGCTCAGAACAGGAACTTATCATGTCTAGTTTTGTCTTCCTGGACTTACCTGAAGGTCTGGTAGAAGATGATGAACATATTTTTTTAATAAATAGACTTTTACAGGATAAGAAAAATGTAGTTAGCTTAAATGTCATATTAATCTTTATTCATGTTTTCCTCTTGTGCTTTATAGCTATTTAAATGACAAGAATTTAGCCCTGGCTGGTGTGGCTCAGAGGATTGAGTGTCAGCTTGCAAACTGAAAGGTCACCAGTTTGATTCCCTATGGGAACACATGCCTGAGTTGTGGGCCAGGCTCCCAGTTGAGGGTGTGTGAAAGGCAAACAATTAAATGACCAGAATTTATAGGACTAACTAGAACCCAAATAACATACCCTGATGATTTCTGGGGGAAGGAAGGAGAGAGTTCTTGAAATATCCAGCTATAAATAAAACTTGGTCTTAAAAAAAATAAAAACCAAATTTTATATTCTTCTTACACTTAGGATAGGAATAGACAACTGCTTCCCCAAGAGCAGAATTTTTTACTCTTTGGCTTATTTTAATAATTCTAGGCTCTATTTCTAGAGCCTATAAAACTATCTGAAAGTTATTAAGAACATAGCAGGTACTCAGTAAGTATTTGTTGAATAAGTGAATATGGATACAGTTATGAAATCAGAGCTCTTCCACATGTTTATAACAAGCACTGGACTAAATTATTATTTTCTCATAGAGGATGATTTTATAACTTGAAAAGATCTGGACTGAGATAGCCGTGTGGTCTCACTGTGGCTATGAGTTGCCCATAAATACAAAGTAGTTAGAAACTTTTTAAAGCAACCCAGAATAAGCCACTACCAAATGCTATAAAATGGTAATCTTGTTTTCCTGGTGACTGGAAAAGGATGTTTATTACAAATGTTAGCCATTGACTCTAGAGCCTCCAAAGGGAGAAACATTCATCCACTGAGTATCTAATATGTACTGAGCTCCAAACTGGTCCCTGTTCAGGTTTAAACTCATTTATTTCTCTCAACCAAGTCAGGGAAACATTCCTATCCTCATTTGACAGATGAGACAACTGAGGGTCAGAGATATTAACTGCACTGCCCAAAGTTACACTATTATTAAATGAGAAGTAAATACCTATTTTATTTAGGTAGGGGAAGACGAGGGTATTGAGGTTTAGGAAATCAGCTTTAAACATGAGCTGATTTACATACTCAAACTGACAGAAAATACTCAGCAGTTAGTCTCAAGGACATCAGGGCAAGTGACCACTTTCAGTCTCTTGACCAAGGCTATGTCATCCACCACCTGTTCACATGAATGGGTTAACCATATCTTGCTCAAAATAATAGTCATGTTATTTCAACCAGAATCCCAGTTAGCCTGTTGTAGGGATAAACTTGATGAGGGAAGGGAACTTAGTTATAACCTCCTTAGCTCAAAGGCTGAGGGCTGAAGAGGTAAAAGATTTCTTGTGGTTTTATGGAGAAGGCAAGCAGAGTCTACCTACCATTTGTAAAGTGAAAGAAGAGAAAGTTTCCTTTACTTTTTAAAATTCATTTGTTGTTTTTCTACCTCACTTAAAACATACCTTTTCCAGGAAACTCATCCCTGCCAAATATAAATAACTGATATCCACACTGCCTTTCCAGTACTTCAGGCAGAACCTTCAGAACCAGTGTGTCTATGGTATAGCTCTCGCTTTCTCGTTGAGGCTTGGGGTATAAGACATATGCATCATAGAGCTTCCCATCTGAAAAAGAAATAGCATAAGCTCATGGAATGATTCCTATCAAATTTTTCTTACATTAATGAAGTAAAAATCTGAGTTTCTACCATAATGTCCTTTTTGCTTCAGCATGCCCAGTTGGCTGACTTGATGTCAAGCGTTGCCACTCTTGGCATCTCATGCTTTTAATAATTAAAATATTGGGACTTCCGCCAAGATGGAGGCGTAGGTGGAAACACTTTGCCTTCTCGCACAACCAAGTTTAAAAACAACAAAGTTTTAGCAACAAAAACGCAGCCGAAACACAGAAAATTGAACTACATGGAAGTCTGACAACAACAAACCCTTCAGCCGAACAGGTAAGAGGGGCAGAGCCAACAGCAGAGTGGGGTCGGGCAGGAAAGACCCACTGGACCAACCCAGGTGCATGATCCAGGCCCACCGGCAGCTGTGGGCAGATCCCAGGTCTAGAGTAACGGGCAGACCCACTGAGGGCTGACCGTGGTCACACATTTGCGCTCAGATAAACTGCAAACTGTTGAAGGAGCGAGCAGTGAGACAGACCACGCAGGCCACAGCACAGGAAGCGGCAGAGGGGACCACTATTGTCCCTCTCTGACCCCACCCCCACATACAGCATCACAAACCAGCAACCTGGGTGACCCTTCTCTGACCCACCCCCACATACAGCATCACGAACCAGTGACCTAGGCAGCCCCACCCTGGTGAACACTTAAGGCACCGCTCCTCAAATGTAACAGGCACGAACAGATCAAAACATGGCTTAAGAACAACTCAGAGCCCCAGAGCCGATAAATCTAAGTGACAAAGAAATAGCCAAACTTTCAGATGCACAGTTCAAAACACTGGTCATCAGGATGCTCACAGAACTGGTTGATTTTAGTCACAAATTAGAGGAACATATGAAGGCTAAACTAATTGAAATGAAGGGAAATGCACAGGAAACTAATAGTAATGGGAAAAAAAAACTGGGACTCAAATCAAAGAAGTGGACCAGAAGGAAGAAAAAAAATGACCAAACAGAAAAGGATGAAGAAACAAGAATTCAAAAAAATGAGGAGAGGCTTAGGAACCTTCAGGACATCTTTAGACATTCTAACATCCGAATTATAGGGGTACCAGACAGGGAAGAGGAACAACCATGAGTGGAAAACTTATTTGAACAACTAATAAAGGAGATCTTCCCCATTCTGGCAAAGGAAATAGACTTCCAGGAAATCCAGGAAGCTCAGAGAGTCCCAAAGAAGTTGGACCCAAGGAGGAACACACCAAGGCACATCATAATTACATTAGCCAAGATTAAACTGAAGGAGAGAATCCTAGAAGCAGCAAGAGATAAGGGGACAGTCACCTACAAAGGAGTTCCCATCAGACTGTCAGCTGATTTCTCAAAAGAGACCTAACAGGCAAGAAGGGGCTCGAAAGAAGTACTCCAAGTCATGAAATCCAGAGACCTACATCCAAGATTGATCTATCCAGCAAAGCTTTCATTTAGAATGGAAGGGCAGATAAAGTGCTTTTCAGATAAGGTCAAATTCAAGAAGTTCATCATCACCAAGCCCTTATTATATGAAATGATAAAGGGACTTATCTAAGAAAAAGAGGATAAAAAAGATGAACAGTGAAAGGACAGCAAACTCACAGTTACTAAGAACCACACCTAAAACAAAAGCAAACTAAGAGGACAGCTTATCAGGAGCAAACCATAGAAATGAAGATCACATGGAGAGTTAGCAACAGGGGAGTGGGAGAAGGAGAAGGGGGAAGAAGGCACAGAAAATAAGTAGCATAAACGGTAGGTAGAAAATAGGGGAAGTGCAAGAATAGTAGGGGAAATATAGAATCTAAAGAACTTGAGACATGGGGTCATAAACTAAAGGGGGGAAATGGTGAGGAAGGGGGTGTGCAGGATGAAGGGGAATGAAGGGGGGAAATAGAACAACTGTAATGGCATAATCAATAAAATATATTTAAAAAAATAAAAATAAATAAAATATTTCACTCCACTCTCTTCTTGCTTGATGGTTTCTGAGAAGCCAAGCATAATTTATACTTTTGTTCTCTATAAGTAGGTTCTTTTTGCCTCTAGCTCCTTTTGTTTTTTCCCCTTATCTTTGCTTTTCCATAATTTGAAAATAATATGCCTAGGTGTAGGTGAGCTTATGAAAGACTGCATAAAAATTATTCAGTTCCCTTTCTCCTGATATGATATTGCTAAATTTTAAAACTGATCAAAGTGGATGAATGGAAAAATTAAGCAATCTTTTTGCCTTTGTGTAAGTGCTTTTACTGAATAGCATAAAGTTTGATGCTATAGTGCTAACATGCACAAAAGATACTAGAAGGAATGCCACATGAAACCTATTACATTAAACTTGGAATTTTTTTTTGCATTCAAGGTTCACTGCATCACATCCTTTAAGAATGAGGACTTTTGACACACACAAAAACGTTTCTTTTTTTGAAGTTCAACAACCAACAATTTATTTTTTTACTGTTGTTCAAGTACAGTTATCTCCATTTTCTCCCACCACTCCCTGCCAACACCAGCCATCCCCAATTCCAACCCTTAATCCTACCCCTCTTTGGTTTATCCATGTGTCCTTTATAAATGTTCTAAAAAACCCTTCCCCCTTTTCCACAAGCAAGTAAAATATAACCAGAGACATTGAAATTAAGAACAAATGGACAGTAACCAGAGGGGAGGTGGAAGTGGAAAAAATGTTTCTTAAGATTGTCCCCAAACTGGCCGTGTGCTCTCAGGAGCAACAGAAAGGTTTATAGTAACAGCACACAATGAATCCTGTAGTAGCTTATGTTTTTACTTCTAAAACAAGCTTGTCTTTAAAACCTGACCAACATTTGTCATGAACTCTACCCCAGCTTTATTTTACCATTCTTCATTTGTTTCCCTATGTTCATTGTACCTATTTTTGTTTTGTTTTTAATTGTTCTGCTCCACATAAACTTTCTCCACAAATTTATTTGAAATAAGGTAAGGCATATGTATATATCACTTGAGGAGATTTGTAAATTGATCCTTATATTTTTGTATGCATATGCACACCTGGCAGGAGGATGTATAAAGCATCTCTAAGACTTAACAGAGAATATACAGAGCTCATTCACTTTAGCTAGGCCTATTGATGACTCAGTAAAACTGTGAGTTACACACATGTAAGTAGTAATCACCTGTAAAGCCTGACTAATCTATGGGATAAATACTTTATCATAAGAAGGACACTTGATCATAAGAAGGACATCTTTCTCGTCTGTATTTGCCATCCATTACTCAATATGTCCCCAAATAACCAGAAATTACCCTCCAGGAAGGCAAAGCTAGAGATAGCATATGGGACTGACTCATCTTCCAATATCATCACTAAGTCACTGTTGAAGCCAGCATTCCAAGGAGTATTACAGGATAATTCTCATAGACTGAGCTGTTGAAAATTCAATCATAAAATGCACATAGACTTTTCTGGATTTAAAAAAAAAAAAAGAGGAAAGAGAACCACTGACTGACTGTAGGTTCCTATTTCCAAATCCTCAGCCCACTGGTTTTGAATTTGGCCTGTGGTTCAGGCTCAGCAGAGGGTGGGGCTCCCTGAGCCTCTCCACTGCTCAGCCCTACTAGATCAGTGTGAGTCACTATTCCTTTTTTCTCTTCCTGCTAAATTTTACCTCACTAACAGGCAACTTCACCACCCACTCATTACTCATTATCTCAGGAACTGCAGTGAGTCAGGGAGTGACAAACATCATGGGGCCAGAATTCTGGAAACACCATCTAAGTCAGTGAAGTCCCCTTTCAGTCAATAGAGAGAGAACAGCCAAGCCACTCATATCTATGTGTCAGAAAGGACAAGTGGTGGCGCACTAACGTCTCTTCTCAGCCAGATGTAGGCTGGAGCTCAGTCACAGGCAGGCTTACAAAGAGTGATCTCAGCAGGGACTGCAGAAGCAAACAGAAACCCCACATCCAGCTGACTTTCCCCAGAACCCAAGACTCCTCAAGTTGTGCTAGACACCCAAAGCCAGAATTCCACCATTGAATTTTGTTACCAAAGGAAAAATAGATTGACTTCTTTGTTGCTCAAAGGGTGCCAAGTTTAAATTCTAAAATTTATTGTAGAATCAAGTCCAGGTTAGGCCATCTGTGTTTTATCATACATGTAGGCAACAACTCCAACCATTTTTTAGAAAAAATATGAAATGCAGGTACTTAGTGTAAACAATGCCCTTGTCTGTAACAGGGACTCATTAAACATGTTCCACACCTATATTCCCCGTGTGTCTGCTCTTGTTAGCACTGCAAGTCTCTCAACTTGAGAGGTATAAATGTGTGCATCTCAGCGCATGTGAGCTGTACAGATTTATTTCGGGCTTCTATTTATTTTTCCATCTAATTAGGGTACTTAGAAACAGACATTACTTTTTTCAAGACCTTAATAGAGTATATCCATTCTGAGACAAATACATGTGGTTGAGCAAAAATAGGTTTACAGTTGTTTGTATGGAAAATTATACAATAATAAATAATAATACAAGAATAAATTTATTTCATAAACCTATTTTTTGCCCCACCCTGTGTATTACAGAGTTAAAATTACAATGGTGTTGATGGGGAGCTCAAATGTTGGAAAATTTTAGTTTAAGGTAATAGTTAATAAGCCTAGTAGTTAGGCTACAAGGCTTATTAACTATTGTTTCAGGGACTAGCTATTCTTTCAGGGATGTGTAAAAAGCTATTGTTTCAGGGACTACAGGAAGTCCTACCCTGTCTCCAGGAGACCACAAGTGATTGACCTTTGTGTTCCAGAAAATACCATAAGCAATCAAAGTGGTATCTGAGCCATTGTGCTCCAGAAAGATACAGTTCACAGCCCAGGACACAAAGAAAATCACCCAGGACACAGGACACAAGTCACAGGTCACAGGACACAGATAAAGAAAATCATCAGTCAGTGGATGAAAGGAGGTTAGGGAAATTGCAAAACTGCAGCTTTTACCTGATTAACCTCCTTCCTGAACTCCAAATCCCTTACCTACACTTTTTTCCCTTGAATTGCAGAGCCCTTGCCTATACTTTTGCCTCCCTTAGAAAAAAAAGCTGGCTTGAAAGGAAATATAAGACATCCTGTTAGGATACAAACCCACCATCTTCTCAGATTGCTGGCCATCTGAATAAAGCACCTGTAAAATTCAATCTCTTTATCTGCTTATTGGGTCTGGTAGGTGATATAGGCAGCACAAATGCTGGCTTTTCCGGTTTTAATGTAAAATGCTTTCTCCTTGGAGTTTCAGGATCACACTGAGGCAGTTCTGTGAATAGTGCTGGCTGGATGCAGGCTCCACCAGGCAACTGAAACCTCCATGCAAACCAGCAAGGGCATCTGCTTTGCCCTCCAGGCAACAAGGGAGCCCTCAGGTGCCCCAGGTTCCTGCTCAGTGAGTTTTTGGACTTCATCTCAATTGCTCACACAACACTGTGTGACACAGGCTCTGATCTGTTTCCTCTCTCCCTCCCTTCCTTCCTCTTCCTCATTCCATAGCTAAAAAAGAGGAAAAAATAAACACCTTTCTAAGATCACGCAGGGAGTAAATGGAGAACTCAAACTCAGGTCTGTCTCCCCCAGCCTGAGAGTTAAATTAAAGACTTAAGTTTTTTCAGGCACCAAGTACCAGTGCTGTAACCACACCCAGCAGGTTGCCCTCTGAAACACACGTTCTTTCCAGGCACCCATGTGCTGAGCACGCACCTGGGTAAAGAGCACTTTTCTCAAGGAGATATTATCTTCTTCTGCTTATACCCATGGATGTAAGAACCATTCTAAAATGATTGCAGTGGGACCTGGAGGATTTTGTCACTCAATCACAACCAGCCTGCAAGTCTGATTTGACTAAACAATGCTTGTAGGCTTGAGGAAATCATTTCTCAGAAGTCCGGAAAGTTCCAGGGAGATTTCCTTCCTTTAAATTTACCAACAACATAAAAAGCAAGCTAAGTAAAACATAGTGAAGTATATTTACAATGGTAATACAAATGAGTGAATAGAAATAATGAGGAAATTTTCAGTGTTTCCACACACTTACCTTCTATGGTCCCAGTAGGTTGGAAGGCACTTCGATACCAAAGTGCAATGTCAATCCAAAAAATGTTGTAGATGCACATGACAAGCACAGCCGCACCTGCAAAGGCCAGAAGCCCTCCTATCAAGTAAGCTGGAAAATCTGGCACTGCAAACAACAGCAAAATAAAATTATAATATTACAAAGTGTCAATTACACACTTATACAGATCACATTACAAATGTCAAATGGAAATATATTAGATGTCAATGAGGATACTGCTTAAATATCTGTTTATTGTTAAATAGTAGGTATAGGAGTAATAATCTGGTCTGACCCATGAATTTTAGAAAGCAAAGTACCCTTGGGAACCTGAGAAAAGAAATTATGCAGAATCCTAGTACCCAGAGGTAGATATTGTATAGCTCCAATCTCATGAGAACTGCTGTCAAAATACATATGGCCAAGTCCTACTTAATCTGCACTCAGATATGAAGCCTAGTACCTTGTTGGGAAAGCTCCCCAGGTGGCACTGCCATGCATTCTTGATTATGTTATTGTAATTGCTTTCCCAGTTACTCAAAATTGAGCAGCAGGACTCATGTCATAAATAAAGAACCATCAGTTAGTTGTGTCTCTTAGATCTTTATTGGCTCTAGAATACTGGCCAACAGCCAAACTGCCACCTCAACCTCCCTGTGCCAACCGAGTTTGGCTGGGTGCCTGTCTGTGAGACATAGTCTCAGGAAGGGTGTTTGTATCCTGCTTAGCTTTGTGAGCACACTTCAGAGCAATTAAAGGGAAAGTTGTGGGCAGGAGATGATGACCAAGAGCAGAGCCATTTCCTCTGGAACTCCAAGTCTGCAAAAATGCACTCCTTCCTACATATCCGATGAGAGGAACAACACAGCTTTCTTCCTTACCAAAACCCCAACCTGTGCTGCCAAAGAAAGAGGCTCTAGGAAAAAGAGAATTCAAAAAGGGGAAGGAAGGGAGAGGAGGAGAACTCCTCCTTATTCTTAGAACCTGCCAAATACCCATTTTCTTCATGAACCCATTCTTAACCCTCTAGTCCCCAGTAGAAGGTATGTTTAAGGGGAGGGTCACTTTTTTTTGAATTCTCAGTGCACTTTCACTTCTAAAATATTCATTAAAGAGCTCATCATAACCTGTCCTAGGCTACACCACGTTGCAAGCATTTTGAGGCCAAGACATTCCTAACTTCTATTGCATGTTTTCAAATAAGTGGCACAATGAAGCACAATATGTATAAGCACATTTTGTGCCAGAAATATATCAACCCATTAAGTCCCAGTGCAGCTTAGTGGATCTGCTCTGCATGCTGGTGCCTTATTTGTTTGAACCTCTAGTTTCTAACTCTTACATGGAGTCTCCCTTCCCTCCCATTTTCCATGTGCCTTTGCCCTTTCCAAGCTCTTGGGACACCAATGCCACCTCTCCTTTTGGGAAGACCCATGCCTGGGAATCCTTAATGTACACTCAAGAAATCTTGGTTTTGTAAATGGTCACGATGAGGAAACCATGCCCCCAAAATTTATGAGATTCAGAAGCTCCTGGTAAGCAGACAGGAGTGATGACCTGAAATTCTTGAATTGGCCATTCATTCTATTCAAGACTGTTTATACCTTTAGTTTTGTAAATTAGCTAAAAGATGATGAATGGAAATAGAAAATGAATGAGTGATTTCAGAGAGAGTATGAACTTTGAAATTGAAATAGTGAAACACTCACTGTTGAGACACCAGATGCTTGTGGAAGACACTATAAGGATGATGTTTGGGTCTATGTGACTGCTACCAGCCTTAAACTGAGGAAAGAGCTGAAAGTAGTGATTTAAAAAAATTCACAGAAGGTACACCTGATCCAAACAGCTTTTTAGTAACCCTACTTCAGACAAACTAAATACGATTTAGTCTGGATGTATCTTCAACAAAAATAAGGAAGTCAAATGAAACAGCTAAAACCTTACCTCTGCCCTCAAGTAAATCAACAGGAGTCTTAGATTTAAGAGGGTAATGTTCATAAGAATTCAAGGAATACAAAATAAAATGAACGTGTCTAAAAATACATTGCATACGAAATTTGAAAAAAGTATGGATAGTAGCAAACATAGATATGGTGAGCACAAGTTTCTTTACTGGCATACACCAAAGGAGACAAACTACCCTTCCTCTTTCCTGCATAATTGGCAGGTGTTAAATGATAACAGCATCATTCTTCTGAGCCAGGACTTTGCCTCAGAATCCTTGTGAACCCAGTGCTTCCAGGTAGTCAGTATCTACAAGACAACACTGACATGAAAATCTATGTTGGTGATTTTCAGTCAAGGTTACTAAACAAAAAACCTCAAACTTCTATGTTGAGGCAGATTTCAATTATAAACACTCTAGTCTTGTGGTCTCCAAGGCCTCCCATAGTCAGCTCCCCTCTTTTCTATGGGGTTGAGGAGACCCTGAGTCCTCTGTAGCAATTAATTGTACTCATAGAGGATATATCATAGAGGAATGCTTATCCATGAATATCAGCTCATACATAGAGAAATTTCCATAGCAGCATTATTTATGAATAGCTCCAAACTGAAAACAACTCAAATAATGACATATTTATAGTACAGTAGATAAACTGTGATTTAGTTATTCAATAGAATAAGATTCAGCAATAAAATGAACTATAGCTACATGCTACATCACTGATGCAGCAATGAATCCCATACACCTAAGAAGCAACACATAAAAGAAAACATACTATATAATTCTCTTTCATATAAAGTTCAAAATCAGTCCAGTAAGCAGCTGGAAGTGCAGGGCTGCCCCATAGGATAGTTGGAGATGTGGAATCACACCTGCACAAAAATGACAGTTGAAACCATGCAAGTAGGGAAATTATCAGGGATGAGAATTCAGAAAGAGCAGCACTCAGAATCTCAAGAATGACCCGGATGTGTCAGTGAGCCTATAAAGATGCACAAAGATTGGGGGGAAATTATAAAAAATCATTTTCTATGAAGGGAAAGCCATAGAAAGAAGGAAAAATGGACAGTGGTGGCTGATGAGCCTAAGGCTTCTTCTACCTGTTGAAACCTAAGAGGGTTTCCCATGAATCCAGCTGAGGAGAGGAGGTGCTGCATGATCACTTACAGTTAAAGCAGCTGGGGACAGAGTGACCCTGGCTTCCAGGTCATAGAAATGAAGTCAGGGCTGCAAGTTACTGTGGAGATATCCCAATTCATTGCTATCAGAAGAGAAATGATGGACACTCATGAGGTCAGGAACTTGGCAAGGGAAAAGGCACATTTGATAGCTCCGTACATCACCCACTCCACTAATGCTTTATGTTAAGTTCTAGAAAAACATTTCTGGTAGGACTTTAGGTAGATATATGCAAACATGGGTTTAACTGATTATTCAGAAATACTGGCAAAACCAAGCCCTCTCTCCTGCATGGTAGGTAGCTAAGAAAAAAAAGATGATATTAATAGAATCAAGGAAGAAAAACTGTCTTGGTAAGCCACATGTCAACATTCTACAAGGTGCTTCCTATATTTCCATTGATACATTAGGAATTTAAAGCTGTTCTCCAGATTATGATTATATCCATCACTATCTACCCTCTGGTTCCATTACCTGCAATGAATATTCAATGTACTCTGCACAAGGTTAAGAGAGCAATTTGTGCATATATATTCAGTTTAAAGGCCTTTTTCTTAATATCAGAATTCAGCCTTTACAGAAATTTTACAAATTTATAGGAATAAAATGTATATAAACATTTTATTTTCATATGAAATTATTTATAATAATCTAAAAGCACAAATCACAAGCACATGATTATAATTGTTGAGTAACCAGGTTTAATAAAGGAACAATTCTGTTTTCAAGAACTTTGATGCATAAGACATCACTGTATACTCATATGGCACTTTCAAAGCATACTTCATTGCAGTACCCCCTTGATTGCAAGAGTGTTATCACATATGACATTAGCTCTTCCCTAGATTTCATAGTGAGTTTGTTGGTTTGCTACCACTCTGTTGTCTCACGCCAAACATGTAAGATCTTTTATCTTTCATATGTCTTTTCTTGACATCGTTTTGAACACTCTGAATAGTATTTAACCCACAGGAACATTACCTGGGGGTTTTAAAATAAAGTATGCTGCAGACACACCAGCATGGCATGTGAAAGGATGGTCATAATCTTCCATTTTCACTTCTAGAAAGGTTATGTTCACTGTGTAAAAATTACGTTCCTGAAAAGAAATGTGGGTTCTGTAAAAAAAAAGTCAATCATTAATACGTAAGTCATATTTTACCCAATATATTTTATAATCTTTAGTCTGGAGAATAAAGTTCTTTTGTACAGACACTGTAGACCATCATTTTATGTTATGAATACTTCACTGAGTGTCTCAGTGAGGTGTGTGTATTGTGTAGTTCCCAATTTGCATAATCTTTGGGATAATGTGACAAGGAAGCATGGTTCTGTTAATTATACAAAAAGTGAGGACACAAATGTTCTGGTGGCCCCTTGTAGTATAGTAGGTGAGTGTTCTAGTAACCCATCTGTATCAGTGCACCAGCTGGTAATGTGAGAGGCTGCGTTCAGCTTCAGTGAAATTTTTGGAGACTCATTCAATTCATTTGCCCATTTCATGATGGGTAATTTAGGAGCACACCTGTGCATACCATGCTGAGTGTTTAGCAGTTTTTGACCAAAAGTGGCATGACCCCTGTGTCCCACCTTCCCTATTCACATGATCTCGCCCTGAGTGACTTGTTTCCCCAGATGAAAAAAAAAAAGTCCTCAAAGAAAATGTTTTGCCTATGTGGAAAATGTGAAACAAAAACAGTGGGAGCAATAAAAGGCATCAAAATCAACAAGTTCAAAAACTGTTTTGAGCAGCGGAAAAAAATATCAATAGGTGTATTGTATCAAATGAAGAGTGCTTTGAACGTGACTGAAATTTAAACATGTAAGAATAAATACAATTCTTTATAAATAAATTCCCCCCCTCATAGACACCATCCTCAGCCCTAAAGGACATTCTGTTCTCCCTGTCTACTCATCCTAATTTAGCTACACTGCAAGGCCCAACCGAAGTTCTGCCCTCTGACTTAATGAGTCTTGTTTCACACCACTCAATTCATATAATCATAAAAGAGGTTCATACACTCTATCTGCTAATGATTATGCACCCCTCTCTCTGCCCTCTCTCCAAGACAGAGAGGGGTGCATAATCCCTGTTTTGCAATTTAAGCTCTGGAGTTCTATGGTTCATCATATGACTAACAGGGAATGTGATCAGTTTCAAGTAGCAGCTGACAAAAACTTATCTTGTTGAATATAGGCCAATACTTCACACTTTGCTTTATCACAAATTACAATTTAAGAGGGATTGATAATCTGAGCATCTTGCACTTCTTTGCAGCAGTTGCTTGCTCACACATCACACTGAGATCCTTGAAAGACAAACCCAAAAGTAGTAATGAGGAGGAAGTGGGAACCACCTAAAAAAGCAGTACTAACACCAAATCACTTAAATGGAAAAAAGGTTGCTAGCTTTCAGAGAAGCCAGAAAAACACTTACTCAATTCCTTCATGGACTCGTTTGGAATCTTTGTAGTAAATATCCACCAATGTGCTATTGACTCTCCAACATCGTAGATTTGTATTATCCCTTGTGTCAGTTATGTTGCAGTCCACAATAAGGGTAGAGCCTATAAAAATCAAATTCACAAAAATTAAATAAAAATTCTACCAAAAGTGGCCTGGTTAATAAATACATCTTGTTTTTGAGCCTTGATTGCCTTTTCATTACCAAAAATATACTCCTAAGGTCAATGTTCATCTACCTTATTGGACAGAGATAACAAGGGACATGTGACCTTGCAGCCTTACCAGTTTTCTTCTATACAGATGTTTGCATTTTCTATGCTAGTCTAATTTTTTTTGTGAGTTCTTCCACTGATTTTGTGTTTCACAGGTACATCATTCTAATGTTAAATAAATTTTGTCTTTATCTTTAAATTATCAAAAATGTATTTTGTGTCTGATATGAGGTAAAAAATTAACTACATATTCTTCAAATTTAGCAAGTTATACCAACACTACATATAATACTATATTTCCCTTTCCCCAGTTATGTCACTTTCCCCATTATATATGATTATTTCAGGCATATAAAAATGCTTTTAGCTTTTAGGTGGATTTTATATTGGAATACCTTACTGAAGAATTGCTAGTGATGATAGTTTTTTGGAGAATTTTCTTAGAGTTTCCAAGTAGATATACATAGGTCATTTTAAATAATTATATGTCTACCTTCCTCTTTCAAGGCTTACATCTCTTGTTTCTTTATTGTCTAAATACATTGGCTAGAGTTTTCAAAGACAGGAAGGGCAAACGAAGTTAATTAAGAGAGTTAATAACAGGAATACTTATCTTTTCTAAGTGTTTATGAAATACATTAGAGAAATCACATGGTGAATGATATGTAGACAAATATCCTCTATTATGAAAATTATTATTTCCTTGAAAGTTTACAAGATCTTTACTAAAACATGTGGGTCCAAATCCTTTAAAGCAGATTTCATCTACTTTCCACTTATTGCTTTCTAATCTTTCTCATTTCTTTTTTTTTTTTTTTTTAGAATTCCTATACTTTGGGGGGATTATATTTGCTGGAGGTTTCTCTATCTTCTCTTTTTATTCCCATGCCCCTAACCCTCAACACCCTGCCCCAAGCCCTTCTATCCCAGAGCCAACTTTGAAACTTGTCATTTAATAAATTCATTTTTTGAACTTTTGTTATTTTCTTCTATAGTTATTTAGTTGCCTTTTTAAAACAAGTTGTTGTTCAATTAAAGTTGTCCCAATTTTCCCCCCTTGCTCTCCCTTGCCCTATCCACCCCCACTCCCCTTCCTCCCTCCCACACTGAATTCTCACCCTGTTGTCCATGTCCATGAGTTCTTTATACTGGGAACCTTTAGTTAAAGTTCCTTGACTTGACCCTTCCCCTTCTTCCCCACCCCATCTTCATCCCCCTTCCCCCTCCCCTCTGTTCACTGTCAGTTTATTCCTTATTTACATGTTTCTGGTTCTATTTTGCTCATTTGTTTGTTTTATTCATTAGGTTCCGCTAATAGGTGAGATCATATGGTATTTGGTCTTTTGCCATCTGGCTAATTTCACTTAGTGTAATACTCTCCAGTTCCATCCATGCTGTTGCAAAGGGTAGAAGTTCCTTCTTTCTGCTGGGTAGTATTCCATTGCATGAATGTGCCACACTTTTTGGTACACTCATTTACCATTGGGTACTTAGCATGTTTCCAGCACTTGGCAATTGTAAATTGTGCTGCTATGAACATTGAGATACATAGGTTCTTTTGAATGGTAATTCAGGATTCTCAGGGTATAATCCCAGCAGTGGAATCGCTGAATCAAAAAGCAGTTCCACTTTTAGTTTTCTGAGGAAATTCCATACTGTTTACCACAGTGGCTTTTTTAAAAATAGAGTTAAATGGTTATTTTATGCACTTTAATTATTTCTACACTTACTAAAAATGATGATATTTATAGTTTAGCCTTGTTCACATTCCATGAAGCTTGACATGATTTCACTGCCATTATTTTCTAAATAATCTGTAACTATGGTTTTGAATTAAATCTAACCAGCAAAGCAAATAATTAGAATACATATTTATTGTTGCTTAATTTTTTAAATTAGTTAATTTTATTTTTGTGGAGTTTATTATTTTAACTTTAGTTGTAAATTTCTAGACTTACTGCACTGTGATTGCACCATATGGTCTGTTTAATTTCCTCTTTAGGTACTCTGAGTTTTTTCACAGTTATTTATCATTGTGATTTATTTAATATATTATTCTCATTATATTACTATGATCATTTATTTTGGAGAGAGAGACAAAGGTAGCAAAAGTGAGAGGGAGAAATATTAATTTGTTGTTTCACTTATTTATGCGTTCATTGGTTGATTCTTGTATGTGCTCTGACCAGAGATTGAACCCAAAACCTTGGTATATTGGGATGACACTAACCAACTGAGCTACTGGCTGGGGCTTATTACTAGAATCTTTTAGATCCTTAATTGACTAAGAAATTTGTCAAATCCAAAGTATGTTAAAATCTCCCATTATAAGTTTTTTTATATATGAGAGCTTTAGCTTCAAATGTTCTGATGTACTGCTATTTGACATTTATATATATTTTTTATTTTGGGAGGTATTGTAATTTTATTAGTATCAAATAATTCAATTTGTCATATAATTTTTGGCATTGAAAGATATTTATCAGATTGAAAGATTAATGTTGCCAATCTGATTTCTTTAATGTTTCAAGACATAGTATGCTTATGAATTTATATTTAATTTTTTAGGTCACATATTTTTAGTTCTGATTCTTTTGAGAACAGAATGAATCAGATTTTAATATTTGACTCAACCTGAGAATGTGTTTAATTTGCATTTTTTCTTCAGAAAGTACTCAACATCTTTTTATTTTACTAGTGATTAACTTTAAAATTTAAAAAATAATTCGAGCTCTTTCTTTTCCACTTAGATCACAAACTGAGGCAATGTTTACCGATACCTTCCTATGTAAAATAAGTAATATAACAAGATAACTCTCCCTACTTTTTAAATATACTTTCCAGTGCAAGATTATATAATTCAGAATTCTTGACCAACAGTAGTAGTTCTATATTATGTATCATCACTTTCAGGACTTATTTTTACATTTTCATTGCTTTTGCATAAACAGATTTACAGTAATCATTTAGACCAGCAATTTTCAACATTTTCATCTCATGGTACACATACACTGATTACTAAAATTTTGCCCCACACTAGAAAATATACTTTTTGCTGATCTGACAAAAATAGGTATAATTTTGATTCATTCACATAGACCCGTGTTGGCTGTTGTCATTTTCTTACTTGACAAGTAAAAGTGCCCCTGATTCAATAGTCAGCTATTTCATGTTTTTAAAATTCTTGCGCACACACCAGTTGAAAATCCCTGATTTAGACCCATAGTGCTCACTGGCAACCTTTCATACCACAGCTTTCCAAGGATCCAGCTCTCTATAGACTTTTTATTCTGTAGCTCTTTTGATGAGCCCAGGTACATTCAAAGCTGGAAAGTGGATATGTATAAAATTTGTCTTCATCCTTGAAATTTAAAAAATTCACTAGGATATGTGTTCATATTTATTTTTACTCTTAGTGATTTCATTGGCTTTCATAACTTTACTCACCAAGTTGTGCTTCGATTGTATTGTTTGTTGGATAAGTTATTTTAGGGATTATTCCTCCATGTCCAACATTTTCTGCTAAGAAATCATACTCATATGACATTGCATTAGAATCACAATACATTCCCAACTACTTTAATAATAGTGTAAAACAAACAAACCAAAACATGGCACAGAGAAGCCCTTCAAAAAAACATTTCTCAAGAAAAAAGTGGACGCATGGTGTGACAAAATATCCACCACTAACTAAATACCTATTCTTGGCCAGGTACCCTAGTAGCTACTCTGCATACATGATCAAAATTTTCATAAATAAACCAAGAGTTTTGTGGGGTTTTTTTCCAATTATAGTTGACCAGGAGTTTTGACTATTCTGTTTTCCAAGATGAGAAAATTAAACTGCTCATGCCCTTTTGCCTCACTCTTTCTACCTTTTGACTCTATTAATGACAAGCTTGAGAGCCTGCTAACCTTCAGGAAAATCAAGATAAAGAATCACTTCTTTTTAAGTCGAAATTGTCTCACACGGGGCAGAGCTGAGAGGAAGTTCTGTAATTAGTACACACATACTTACTGACATTCACAGTAATTCTATGTAAAACCGTGTATGGTTTTCCTGCATGAGTCAGTCTGGCTTCACACAAATAGTTCCCTCTGTCCTCTGCCGAGACATTGCTCACTGACAGCTTTCTTTTTTTTTCCCAATAAGCAAAACGCTCTCCTTTAATCTCTTTACAGTCCTAAAGAAAAGTTCAAAGAGCATTTTGAGTATCAGTTATATTCCTAATTGACACCATCTCATAAACTGTGAGGGGATACAAGAAACCAATGTGGTCCTTAGGTCCCTGGACATTAAGTAGTTTATTATCTAACTGATATATATGTACAGAAGAGTTGACAGAGAATATTTATTTTTTTTTAGAGAGAGAGAAATAAATAGAGGGAGAGAAACAATGATGTGTGTTTGACTCTTGCCATATTAATGTTTAGGGCATGTGTCCTGACTGGGAATCAAACTGGCAACCTTCAGCTCGTAAATCGGCACTTAATCCACTCACCCTCACCAGCCAGGGTGACAGAGAATATTTAACAGGCTAAACTATATTTGCAAATCAGGCAATTCTTACAAATATTTCAGAGTTCAAAGAAAAAATAACATTAGAAACTGGAAAATACTTTTAACTGAATGATAAGAATATAATATATCAAAAGTATAAAGCAGCTTAAACTGACTTTAAAGGGAAATTGCAACTTTAAGGCATATAATTAATGACCAAAAATCCTTTTCATAAACTTATTAACGTAACAGCAAATTAAAACCAAAACTAAAAATAGAGGGGGAAACCTGGATAAGAGCAGAAATTAATAAAGCAGAAAACTAATGAGAGATAGCAACTTCAAAATTAGCACTTTGAAGAAACTCTTCAAGTTGATAAAGCCCTGGCAAATGTAATCAACAAAGAGAGAGAAAGAGAGCGAGAAATGGAAATATATGACTCCAGATGCGAAAATGAAGACATCACTACAGATCCTACAAACATTAAAAAGGGAGTGAGAGTATATTATGAACAAGTTTAGCCCAATAATTTAAAAATTATGTACATAAGACAAAAATTTCTAAACAAGCTCAATGTGTTAAATCTGCTTTAAGAAGATACAGGAAATCTGAGTAATCCTATAATTAAGGACACTGACTGTAATTGAAAACCCTTCCCTCAAAGAAATTCTCATTCTACATAATTTTACTACTAAATCCTAAAAGCATGTGAAAGAGCCCTGACAGGTGTGGTTCAGTTGGTTGAGTATTATTCTGCAAAGCAAAAGGTTGCTGGTTTAATTCCAGTTCGGGGCATATGCCTGGTTTGCAGGTTAGGTCCCAGTTTGTACATGTTGAGGTCCCCATCCAGGTGCATGTGAGAGGCAATTGATCCAATTGATGTTTCTCTCCCTCTTTTTCTCCCCCCCCTTCCCTCTCTCTAAATATAAATAAGTAAAAATCTTTTTTAAATAAATAAAATAAAAACACGTACAAGAAGAAATAAAATCAATCTGAAACATTTCTAGAAGAAAGTGAGTGTTACTTCCCAATTTATTTTATAAGGTCAGCATATCCTTTATAACGAAATCTGACAAGGGCAAAGCAAGAAACACAAATTACAGACCAATCTCTTTATGATTTGGATGAAAAAAATACTACACAAAATATTACTAAGCCAAATCTGGCAATGTATAAAAAGAGTTACACATCAGTATAGGTTATTCTAGTAATGCACCATGGGTATAACATTCACAAGAGTGTAAATATAATCAGTTTGTAAAATTTAACATCCATTCATAAAATTTCAAACAAACTAGGACAGTTTCCTCAAACTGCTAAAGGCCATTTAACCCTAAAACAAACATCTCACTTAATGGGAAAATATTAAAAGCTTTTTTTAATTATTAGTGTCATTTTTCCTTTTTTTAATTTTTATTTTATTGATTATGCCATTACAGTTATTCTATTCTCCCCTTCATTACTCTCCACCCTGCACCCCCCACCCCTACCATTCCTTCCCTTTAGTTTATGACCATGTGTCTCAAGTTCTTTGGATTCTATATTTCCCATACTATTCTTGCCCTCCCCCTATCTATTTTCTACCTACCGTCTGTGCTACTTATTTTCTGTACCTTCTCCCCCCTTCTCCCCCCACTCCCCTGTTGCTAACCCTCCTTGAGATCTTCATTTGTATGGTTCTGCTCCTGATCTAGCTGTACTTTTAGCTTGCTTTTGTTTTAGATGTGGTTGTTAGTAACTCTGCATTTGCTGTCCTTTCACTGTTCATATTTTTCATCTTCTTTTTCTTAGATAAGTCCCTTTAACATTTCATATAATAAAGGCTTGGTGATGATGAACTCCTTGAATTTGATATTATCTGAGAAGCACTTTATCTGCCCTTCCATTCTAAATGAGCAGAGATGGCCGCCATTTCCCAGCTCCGACCCTGCCCCCACATACAGCCTCACAATTCAGCGACCTGAGCCACCCTACCCTGGTGAACACCTCAGGCTTCGCTCCTCAACCAGCAGCGGGAAGCAGGAGAGGGGGACGCCATTTCCCCACTCTGACCCTGCCACCACATACAGCATCACAACCCAGCGACCCCACCCTGGAGACCCCACCCCACCCCTAAGGCTCTGCTCCTCATACTTAATGGGTGAGAACAGACCAAAAATGGCTCAAGAAGATCTCAAAGCCCCAGAGCCCATAAATCTAAGCAATGAAGAAATAGCCAAACTTTCAGATGCACAGTTCAAAACACTGGTCATCAGGATGCTCACAGAACTGGTTGATTTTAGTCACAAATTAGAGGAACATATGAAGGCTAAACTAATTGAAATGAATGGCAATGCACAGGAAACCAATAGTAATGGAAAGGAAACTGAGACTCAAATCAAAGGAGTGGACAAAATGGAGGATAAAAATGACCAACCAGAAAAGAATGAAGAAACAAGAATTCAAAAAAATGAGGAGAGACTTAGGAACCTCCAGGACATCTTTAAATGCTCCAACATCTGAATTATAGGGGTACCAGAAGGGGGAAAGGAACAGCCACAAGTGGAAAACTTATTTGAACAAATAATAAAGGAGAATTTCCCCAATCTGGCAAAGGCAATAGACTTCCAGGAAATCCAGGAAGCTCAGGGTCCCAGCAACGGGAGGCAGCAGTAAAAACTTTTTTTGATATAATGACACAAAGATGCCATTTTTGCCTCTTATGGATTGGTGATAGCACTATAGGATATTAATAACAATGGGATGGTAATAACTTCTAGATCATTGTGAAGGTCCTAGCCAGTGCAATGGTGATGAAAGAAAACATCAATGTTACAAAGATAGAAAAGCAATAAATAAAACTGTTGTTAATCTACAAACAACATGATTATGTATGATGTACAAAAATCTATAGATCCATTATTAAAATGGACAGATGAAGTCACCAAGATTGTAAGATAAAAGAACAATAAACAGAATATTAATATATAAAACCATCCATTTCAGAAACATCAGAAAACATCCATTTTCTAAAAATATATTTAACATAAAACATACAGGATATCTACACAAAAGTATTATACAACATTGTTGTGAGAACTTAGAGAAAACCAAATGTAGGGATATACCATGCTTATCATTTAAAAGATTCAAAATTTTAAAGACACCAATCCAAAAACAAATGAAAAAGAAAAAAACCTCACCTACTGGCAAATGTACATTTAAAGACAGGAATAAGGCATTCATTGCTATATTTTTACATATTTTTGTGCAAAAGGAAAATGGAAACAAACTAAATGAATGTGAAACATAGTAAAGAGGATCAACAAAGCCAAAAAGAATGGTTTTTTTAAACAAGTGATAGAAGTGACACAACTGGCAAACTGAGAGAAAGTGTAATAGGTATTAAAAGATGAACCTTGTTGCAGAAGCAGATATTTAAAGAGAACATAAATAATCCCATGCCAGAGTATTAAGGAAATGGACAATTTCCTTGAAAACAAAATTTTACCCAAATTAATTCAAGAAGAAATAATAAATTTGTATATTCCTACCACCGTTAAAGAATTTGCATTAATATATGAAAACCTTTCCACAAAGCAAACTCCTGACCTAGATGGTTGTACTAGCAAGTGCTAGCAAACAGCATTGTGGAAAAATAATCCCAACTCTAAATAACTAGCCAGTGCTCCCCCGTACCAAGGATTCTGTCTTATACATTAATATATGCCAGTAGAGTCAAGAAAAAAAGAATCTCTGAAGGTGAAGACAGAGAATGCAGAAAGATGAGTATAGGATTCCATTTGTTTAAGAAAGAAAGAAGTAAGGTGTAGAGTATCATTTGTTTATACAGCATTATATAAAGAAGACACAAAGAAAGCAGGAAACTAATAAGGTAGCTACATGTTAGGGAAGGTGCCATGAGCCCAACCAGGACAAATATGGTTCAAGAGTGGAAAGGAGACTTTCCAGGGGTGACTTTTTATACTTTGTGGTTATTGACTGATGTGCATGCAGTGCTCATTCAAACTAATTAATCTGTTAGGGAACAAAATAGCCAAGTATAGTCTAAACAATAAGGATAATAGTGGGGAGGTAGTAGATACAAATGATAAAATATTACAAAGCTATAATTGTTGGGAACAACAGCTTCTGCTTAGTTTCAGAAGCTGTAACCCCCAAGGCTAAGGCTGAGTGAGCAACCTTCAGACCATAAGCCACTAAGGAGACAAAGCTTATCTCCCTGGCAGGGGTGCCAACTCTGCTCCTTTTATTTCACCCTGCCTGGCCCTCAATGCTTGAACAGTTAGCCAATGATGGGTAAGATTCCTCAAGGGAGGGATGACCTAAGATAGGCACAATCATGGGGGCACCAGGGAAGGACTTGGGGGGACTACAGTAAAAGGGGGTGATGGACCCTCACCCCTCCACTTTGACATAGCCTGAATCCTCATTCTGTCTGCAAGAAGTCTCCTTATCTCTTGGCTGCCTTACTTCCCCTGCCTGACTTAAGCCTGAAACAACGACAGAGGGCAGTACAGCCCTGTGCTGGAAAGGGCAGGTTCCTGGGGCCATCAGATCTAAGAAAGAATATAGAAAATTCTGTGAAATCTGCTTTACTAAGAATGCTCTCAATTAAATGACAAGGGTCCAAGCAGAAAATGACTTTGTTTTCCAAAGTTTTGTAGCCCTTTAGCCCACAGACCCTGACTCAGAATAAGCCCTCATAGTTCTTTGTATGCTATCTATTGTTTGATCCTTACTGCCTAACAGTGACTAATGAGCTTTACCTGTATTCCTGTGCAAAATGAACTCAATAAAAGCCCATTGAGGAAAAGGCTCTTGGCCCTTCTCCTTCGAGAGATTGGCCACCTTTCCTCCCCAAGCAGATCATGTCTTGGTAGACTTATTCTTATCCATGGTGGCCAGGGGGTCTCTTGTGGGCGGAGCCTCCCCCCACATATAATAAATATAAATTTAAAAATAAATGATTAGCAGGTAAGCTTACCCATAGCAATCAGCTATCTAACAGATCTGTCCTAGGTACACACATCTCTTTACCAATTCTGCCTTAAAAAATACAACTTAAATTGAAAAAACAAGTGGATTTTAAATAAGAGGAGAAAAAATATTAATAGGATTTTTTTACCTTATACCACTTTACTGAATCCAAATCACAACTCTTTGGGAAGTTCAGATGACACGTAAGACTGTCATTTTTTCCAACATGTAATATTTGCTTGTACTCATCTGATAAATTCACTTGACTCTTTTCAGAAACACACTTGATTTCACTAAACACAGTTAGGTTTATGTGTATTCGGTGACACATATTTGTATTACTGTAAGAAAATGACAGGTTAAAACCTCATAAACTCAAACAATCATGAAACCAAATGATTCTGTTTATCTTCAGCTATGTCCAAATCATCTTCAAGGTACTGTACAAACTCTCTACCTCACACAAAATGGTACATGTCTCACAAATCATTAATTACAAAAGGAAAAAAGTATTTATATAGCAGAAACACTAAATAACACTTTGACCAAGCGATTAGAATGAATATCACCAATGAGGGGCAAATGTTCCTCTGAGTGTTTTCTGAAGAGGACATAACTTTCATAGTATTTCAACCAAGGAGGCTCATGGAGAAATAGCTGCCAAACTCAAATTAAGGGATATAATGTAAAATAATTTGCCTGTACTCCTTCAAAATGTCAATGTCATGAAAAACAGACTGAAGAACTGTTCCATGTGAAAGTTTAAAAGTGCATGGCAACCAAAGGCAATGCTTGATCTTGAGTTAAATCCTCTGCTAGAAAAAAAAATATTTATATTGGTCATCACTAAGACTATTGATGAAATTATAATATGGATTGAGGATTAGGTTAAAAATATTGTATGACAGTAAAATTTTCTGAATGTTTTAATGATGCTGTGATTATGTAAGAAAATATTCTTTTTGATAGGAATACACATTGATATATTAAAAGGTCAAGAGACATGATACAAACAACTCAAATGATTTGGGAAAATGACTTAGAAAAATATTTGGTATAATATATATATATATATATGGAGAAAATAATGTAAATGTGGCAAAATATTAATTAGTGGGGCACTCTAGATAAAGAATAGATAAGAATCTCTATACCATTCTTACAAATTTTATGTAAACTTGAAATTATTTCACAGTAAAAATATACAGTTAAATAAATATATCATATCTATATGTTAAAATTTTATGAAAATTCATATTTATTTTTTCCCATAATAGGCAATAATTACATTTACTTTTTATGAAAGATGATTTTCCCCACTTCACAGCTTCCATATTTAAATATTTTAAATCCAGTCTAGATTTCCAGATGAAAGTTATGTAATATACTGTCTCCAACTCTAGTTAATTTGCAGCCAAGAGTAAAAATGGGAGAGCAGGCCTTCATAAGATGTCAGCAGCTTGATCCATGCAGCAAGTGAAATTGTGGAAAGAAGCCAGGCAAATGGGCTAAATGCCACTTCTACTTGTGTACCACTAAGTAATTTTGGCCCTCAAGTAAACCTGACATATGAAAATGAGGAATCTAGTATGAATCAGAGCGGGACACAGGCCATCCTAGGGCATAGAAAGAGAACAAGAGAGAATGCAACTTCATTTCTGGGGTACTTTCTTTACATATGATCTCAGCTTTTTCGCTTCAACCCTATCAAGCCATATGACTTCCACTATGCAGATAAGAAACCAAGTCTGAGAGAGGTCAAATAATCTGTTAAAGTCAGGAACATTAGTAAGGAAAAGTAACAAAATTGGGGCCCTCAGGCAAAATTTGATCCACAGATATGTTTTATTTGAGCCACACACAAAAAGTTCATTAAAAGGTTACACACACATGCATACACACAAACTAATTTCCAGGTTTTCCTGAAAAACTAGAAAATTTACTTGAGCTAAATAGACGGCTGCCTTTGGTGGGGCATGTTTTCCAGTTCACCACAGTCCCCACCAGTCTCAGTTGTCTCCCACCAGACCTGTGTCATTCATTTATACATTATTACTTTCTATTGCAAGAGTTAGCTTTAGGTTTGGAACATACTTAGTGCTTATACTTAGTGCTTAGTCACTGTTAAATTTACATAATAGATGCCTTACAAAAAAGTGTTCAAATGAAGCTTATTCCTATCTGGATGTGCCACTTATCACAAAAAAACTTCTGGCATTCCAAGAAAGGAAGCAGCGGCAATGATATTGGGATACAGGATTTTTGTAAGCTGGTCTGGCTGTGGCATCACTTCCATGGAAAAAGCTACATTTCATATTCCAACAACTGATTACAGATCTGTTTGGTTTTAAAATGTGTTCATTGAAAATTTTCTTATAACAATAATAAAACTACATTTTATTCTTCTCATTGAGTTTTCTATACTTAATAATTTATTAAGAAATTTTCTAAAATAATTATGTACATATAATTATTATATATATATATATATATATATATATATATATATATATATATATATATATATGAGACAGAGAAAGGGAGCGTTATTTCTATTTCAAGTGAGGAACTTACTTTATAATACATTGGTAGATTCCAGAGTCCTCCCTTTCCAGGGGTAAAAACAAAATCCAGTTTTGATCCTGGTAAATTCTAGTCTGCATGTTTTTGGATACTGGGATTTTGCTAGGATATTTATACCAAGTTACATGTGCTTTCCCAGATGTTAGCGGAGGGTACGTGCAATTAAAAGCAAAAGGCTGATTTACTGAAGATGTCTCATTTTGCACACTAATGTCCCGACATTCATCTAAGAAATGAAAAGGAAAAATAATAATGAAAAAGAAATTTAATGTTTATTTATTAATAGTTTTAACAAACCTCTCAATTTTCTAGCCAGTTTTATTTGAGAGATTTTTTAGTGTGGGAGTTACCTAAAAAAAAAAAAAAAAAAAAAGTCTGTTGATCTAAAAGCATCAAAGTCCTTCCAGTGTCCATAGGACTGAATTTACTGTTTGCTCCTCAGTCATTTTTAGCATCTAGAACCACTGATTCCCTTTTCCTTTCCACTCTAAGATGCTTCATTCTTTCATCCTCCTGGGTCAGAGGAAATGTTCCTTCTCAGCCTTAATTGTCACGTTTTCCTTTTGTTCTGCCTCTCAGGTATTTCACTCTGTCTTAAATAAAAGGTGTATAAAATGTGTATCTCATCCCAAAACGCATTGTTTAAAAATCCGCTCACTTTAGAGTCCATTTTTCACCTAGTTTCTTTCTTGGAAGAAATTAGTCTTTTCATGGTTTCTTTGCTTTTATTCTAGGTCATAAAATGAATCTGTCATGTAAAAGATCCATTTGAGCCATTTAACTCAATTTGCCTCATCCTCCTTCTCGCCAAAGTCACCTCAAAGCTCAAAGGTGACATCTGGGGCTGAGCATCAGACACTTGGAAATGAAACCGCCATTTACAGAATTCTGCCTGGTCCACTGGGAGAGTGTAATCAGCAAGGCTCAGAGTCCCAGGGAACCCCGCCTAGGTCTGCACAGAAGGCTCACACAGAGCAACAAGGAGGTTCTTGGGTGAGGCGGACCCCTGAGAACCGAGGACAAACCCAACATACCAGCTCTGATCCAAGGGGGAAGAGCTATGGACACACAGCACAGCAGCAGGGATACCGTCTCCATATCAGGCTGCTAAGGAAGAAAGAAGAGGGTCGGAGGGGAAGAAGCAGGGACCTGATCCTGTGACCTCTGAACCTCAGACACCTCAAGTCAGGCCACTGACTTTCTATTCTTCGCGGGGAACCCTCTAATCTTGGCCCTACATTTTCCCAGAAGTACCCTCAAAGATGGCTCCCTCTCCTTCCCCCTTCCTATTCTCAGGGTCCGACCGTCGGTATCTTAGGTGGAGAGGGGTCCGTGGGTCAGCTGTGGGAGCGAAGTGGGAAAAGTCTGGGTATGGTTGTTGCCTCCTCGAGGACGCTCTCCTTCGTTTCCTCCGGGGACGCGCCGACATCCCCTTCTGCCATCTGGCACAGCGAAGCAGAATCTGCAACCTGCGCCTTGAGAGAGGCGCTCCTCCCTGCCCGCTTCAGCCGAGGCCCCTGGTCCCTGTCGTGCATTGCACTTAGCCTACTCCCCTGCATGTCCCTGACCTCAGGATCCACAGGGTGGGTGGGCTAAACCAACACTCCGAATACCTGCTCACCAGGAAGAAGCCAACTTAAGTCTCCCTGGCAAAGGCCGGCAGGAAAAAAGGGAGCCAGACGGAGTGCGGGCTGGACTGGAAGGTAGATGCAAGCTCCACCCCTTCTCCTAGAGATAGCATCTGCTCCCCCAGGGTCTCCACTGCGGTCAGGAGACGCCCCGGAGTCCCAGTCTCTGGCCTCCGGGTCGCTCATATTTTTGCCACCTTTTCCCCTGCACACCTACCGTCTGCGCCCACCTGCGAGTGGCTCCACCACGGACTCCCGGCCGCGTGCTACCCCTGGGACAAGATCTGAGTGTGCAAGAGTTCTGATCTGACACCCAGGGACTGAACCTTGTGTTGTATTTTCACATCAGGCTGTTTCTTTGCCACTGTGGGCGGGGCAGGCTTACCTTCCCCAAGGGAAGTGTACAAAGGAACGTGGCATCAACCTAGGAAGTGGTCTGAAAGCTTGTTGCCTAATTTTCTGGCAGCTCACTGGTAATTCCTGATTAAGTCTATTCTGAATTGTCCTTGTAAATGAATTATTCATTCCTTTCCAAACCTCACTTGAGCAGTAATTACATGCCCTGCATTGGCCTATATCCAACTCCCCAAAAGTAGACCATCCAAATGGCTTGTAAGAAATATTTTGCTGCCAGAGTCAAGCTTGTTAAATATGGAAATCAGGCATTTCATGATGATACTCAAATTCCTGGACCACAAAGACCTCTTTGGTCTGAAACTTTGAAGTAGGAGGCTATCTACAGAGACCTGTTGCCCTGGCTATTAGATGACACCCCAGAGATATCTCTAATGGCACTGAGACTTAGAAGAAAATATAAATTATAATTGCCATTCAAGAGATTTTTGCTCTCTGTAAGATTTGAGACAATGAGACAGAAGCAACCATAGGATCAAGCAGAAAAATATAACAGTTACATTGTCAGCAGAACTTCCAGGGATAGGCTGGTTTGTAAATGTCCACACTGTTTCAAATTCCTTTGTTTATATGGATTTATCTGCCATAATTTACTGTATTAGAAATTAAGTGGAAGCCCTGGCTGGTGTAGCTCAGTGGATTGAGCACGGGCCTGTGAACCAGAGTATCGTGGTTCGATTCCCAGTCAGGGCACATGCCTGGGTTGCAGGCCAGTTCCCAACAGGTGACACACAAGAGCCAACCATACATTGATATTTCTCTCCCTATCTCCTTCCCTTCCCTTCTAAAGATAATAAATAAAGTCTTAAAAAAGAAATTAAGTGGAGAGTTTTAAGCATTTATTTTCTTGTTTATTTTTATTTTATTTTATTTTATTTTATTTTGTATTATTAAGCTGTTACAGGTGTTCCCACTCTTTTCCCCTTTCCCTTCCTCACCCAGACCTACTATTTCCCCACCTCCAGCCAACCCCGACATTGTTGTTCGGTGTCTGTGGGTTGTGAATAAATCTTCTACAGTTAACCCCTTCGCCATCTTTCATCCCATCCCCCCATCCCTTTCCCATAGCTGTCAGGCTGTTCTAGGTATCTAAGCTTCTATAATCATCTTGTGTGTAAGTTTATTGTGTTCACCAGATCCCACATATAAATGAGATCATGTGGTATTTTTCTTTCACTGACTGGCTTAATTCACTTAGCATAAGTTTCTCCAGGTCCATCCATGACATTGCAAAATGTAAGCATTCCTTCTTTTTTACTGCTGCACAGTATTCCATTGTGTAAATGTACCACGGTTCTTTTCTTTTTTTTAATCTACTCATGAATGCTTGGCACTTAGACTCTTTCCAAATGTTGGCTATTGTAAATAGTACTGCTATAAATGTAGAAGTGCATTTTTTTGTATTGGTGTTTTGGGATCTTTAGTGTATAGTCCAAGAAGTGGGACTACAAGCTTGCAAACTCAGCTTTTCCGTACACACAACTGTCACATCCCCACTCCCCTCTTGGTAGTGCTCCAAGACCCAGACAACCCAGATATAAGCTGGGTCACCTATCACCCTGGTCACCCAGGCAGCAACTCTAAGGACCACAGGGCACCATAGATCTCAGAGACAAAAGTAGCACATAGGTAGGAGAAAAGAAAAGGTTGAACTATAGCACCATCTATTGGTAAACAAACTAAAAGACCTTTATCAACCTACTGAATTGGGTTTTTTTAATATATTTTATTGATTATGCTAGGACAGTTGTCCCATTATTTTCTCCCCTTTATTTCCCTTGACCCTGAACCGCTGCCGCCCCACCATCATTCCTTCACTTTAGTTAATGTCCATGGGCCATACATATAAGTTCTTTGGCTTCTGCATTTCCCATACTGTTCTTAACCTCCCCCTGACTATTTTGTACCTACTATTTATGCTTCTTATTCCCTGTACCTTTTCCCCCATTACTTCCCTTCCCCTGCCCACTGCTAACCTCCATGTGATCTCTATTTCTATGAATCTGTTCCTGTTCTAGTTGTTAGCTTAGTTCATTTTTGTGTTTGTTTTCGTTTGCCCATCCATTCTAAATAATGGCTTTGCTGGATAAAGTAGAGAAAGGTCCTTGCCTTTCATGACTTTGAATACTTCTTTTCAGCCCCTTCTTGCCCCCAAGGTTTCTTTTGAGAAGTCAGCTGACAGTCTTATGGGCACTCCTTTGTAAGTAACTGTTTCCTTTTCTCTTGCTGCTTTTAAGATTCTTTCCTTCTGCTTAATCTTGGTTAATGTAATTATGATGTGCCTTGGTGTGTGCATCCTTGGGTACAACTGCTTGGGGACTCTCAGAGCTTCCTGGACTTCCTGGAGGTCTATTTCCTTTGCCAGATGGGGGAAGTTCTTCTTCATTATTTTTTTCAAATAAATTTTTAATTTCTTGCTCTTCCTTTTCTCCAGCACCCCTATGATTCTGATGTTGGAATGTTAAAAGTTATCCTAGAGGTTCCTGAGCCTCTCCTCATTTTCTGAATTCTTGTTTCTTCATTTTGTTCTGGTTGAATGTTTATTTCTTCCTTCTGCTCCAAATGGTTGATTTGAGTCCTGGTTTCCTTCCCTTCACTGTTAGTGGTACTTCAACATTGTGGTGCTGTATGTGGGGGAGAGGTCCAAGAGGGAACAATGCCTCTTGCTCAGCTCTCAGTGGGCTTTCAGTCACTTCCTCCACTAACAACAAGCAAACTGAGCCCTTTTGGCGCTGATTCCCAGGTTGGTGGTTTTATGTATGTTCTAGGACCCTGTGGATCTGTCCAACAAACTCTCCTGTGAAGCTGAAACCACCTGCTGCCACAACCCCCACAGGTTTTTTCAGTCAGAGGTTTTGAGGCTTTATTTCCCCACACGGAACCCTGATTTGTGAGGTCTGTCTTGCTCCCCATTTGTTCCTCCCAGTTTATCAGCATGCAAATGTGGGACTGCCCACTCTGCCAGCCACTGTCTCAACTGCCCTAGTTCTCTAACTGCCACCTGGCTGCTAGTCTTCTCCATCCAGCTACCCATCTCCGCCCCTCCTATTGGTCTGGATGAATATATCTTCTCTAACTCCTTGGTTGTTGGACTTCCATACAGTTCAATTTTCTGGCAGTTCTGGTTCTGTTTTGCTTTTGAATTTGTTGTTGTTCTTTTGTTTGTGCGAGAAGGCAAAGTATATGTACCTATGCCTCCATCTTGGCCAAAAGTCCCTTAGAACCTACTGAATTGTTAAAAACAAAATGATACCTAAATAAGAAAAGTGTTCACTACTTCAAATGCACTCACAGAAGAACAGCAGCACACTCTTAAAAAAATGAGGTAACATGGATATTACAAAAAGAAAATGACAATTCTCCAGAAACCAAATTCAAAGCCATGGAAAATTGTTATATAAATGATGGAGAATTTGAAATAGCAGTAATGAAGAAATGTAACAGAATAAGAGAAAATTCGCAAAGACAGTTCAATGAGCTGAGGAACAAAATTAATAAACAGGAGTAGTTTACCAAGAATGTAGAAACTCTAAAAAAGAACTAAACAGAAATGTTGAAGCTTAAAAACTCAATAAATTAGATGAAACAGATCATGTGAAAGACAAAATTCATGAGCTCAAAGAAAGAAATCTAGAATTGATTCAGGGAGAAGAGGAAAGAGGGCTAGGATATTTTTTTAAAAAATAAAGGAACAAAATAGAGTTATCTGACTCCATTACAAAAGGGAACTTAAGGATAATTAATATCCCAGAAGAAGAAGTGAAGAAGGGAACAGAGAACCTAATCAAAGAAATAATAGCTGAGAACTCCCCAGACCTGGGAAAGGAAGTGGACAAACAAGTACAAGAAGCTAACAGAACACTTAATCATCTCAACTCAAAAAGACTCTCCAAGATACATTATATTAAAACTGTCAGAAGGTGGCAATAATGAAAGAATTCTTAAGGCAGCCAGGGGGAGGTGGGGAAAGAGAGCAACTATATATGAAACCCCATCAGACTTTTCTCAGATTTCTCAGCAGAAACTTTACAAGAGAGAAAGTGGAATGATGTATTCAAAATATTGAGATAAAAATCACTAGCCAAGAAAACTATATCCAGCAAAATTATTTGTTAGATATGAAAGAGAAATAAAGGTTTTCCCAGACTAACAAGAGCTGAGGGACTTTACTACCACAAGTTCAGCATTATAAGGAATTTTGAAAAGAGCTCTTCTACCTGAAACAAAAATGACAAAAGTACACAAAACTGAGAAAGGTGACAGATAATAGCAACCTTATTTCAGGATAGCAACCTGAAGCAGAAAATAGCAACCTTATTTCAGGATAGGGTGTTAAACATTTAATTATAACATATAGGTTAAAGGGAAAGAAGCATTCAAATACCATAGCTACTTCAATTCGGCAATAAACAAACAACATTAAAAAGTTCATATGTGACAACAGAAACATATAAACGAGAGGAGGAAAAAGGACAACATTGTACAGATGAATGAAGATAAGATGCTACCAAAAGAAAATTACTATTTTCTCTATGAGACATTTATACAAACTTCATGGTTACCAAAAAAAAATCCATATACGCAAACATAACAGGAAAAATATAGAAAACCATGAAACTAGGGATTTGGAAGATGGTGGCGAGGTAGGTGGCAGCTGAACCCACTTGTTGGTGCACCCAACTGGGATAGACACCTATCTGATATTCCAATTATCGGAGTGAACAGCCAACAGAATTCCAGCTGATAAGAAGTTTGGAAGCCAAAGGTTGCAGAGGATGTTTAAAAACAGATGGTAAGGAGAGTTTGTAGGCTGATGGGAAGATCCCTGGATCCTGCATGGCTGCTGCCACAGCTTTGAAAAGGAGCTAGAGCACTGATTATGTCTTAGAGGCTCCCTCCCCTCTAAGAGCAGCCAGTTCACAGACCCACGCCAGGAAATACCTGGATGCTTAAAGTTGCTGGGGGAATGAAGAAGCAGTAATGGACACACAGCTGCGTGGCATACCACAGTGGGGACTGTGTTCACTGGCTGGGACAGTGCCAGAGAAATTGG